AGAGAGAGAGAGAGAGAGAGAGAGACCCTACAATTCCCGGAGAAATTCCGTAGAGTAAATATGTACGCGGAGATCCCGTCGGTAGAATAATCAGTCGAATCGCGAGACTATCGCGCTGCCGCCCGTTGTTTGTGATGCTGTCCCAACCTGGCGGCATCTAACATTTCGCCTTTATCTCGCGGGACGCGTCTGTTGTTTACTGTCGTAAAACAGATAGAATCCTTCTCTATCCAAGCGCATCCATAATTACTCTGAATAAACAGTTACAGGTTGCCAACATTTCAACTGTTACACTTGCGATTATGCTCGCGCATTAATTATTTAGTTACCCTTTAGTACCCTTTTTTTACTCAGGATGTGTTCCAACAACAGGATGCACCATGAGAAATTTACTATTACTGAAGCTATTGTACATTATACATTATTGAAGCGATAACCTAGTTTTTTTCTAAAATATAAACGCTTTGTTTTCAATAAACGGGATACTGTGTGCGATAAAGACCAGTAAAACTGGTCTTATTTTTTAATTAGATATTCCGTTTATTTTATCGAGATCCTATTCCGCGACCAGCAATGTTTCTCTTTTTTTATCAAGACAAACTCAACTTTCTAGTTTATATAATAGCTCCCAGGATGGGAGCCTTTTATTAAAATAATTACTAGATGCTTTATTTGCTTAATCCTAAGATATTAAATGAGTTAATGGAATGGAAAAATAGAATTTGTAATTAATATTTCTAAAAATAAAGTTGACGCGAAACAAACGCAAGTATTATATCGCAAATTTACTTGTACTAATTTTTTATGAGTATCGATTGCTATATTTTATGAGTATTGTAAATTATACTCTTTTTTTCTTCCATTTCTTCTCATTTAACACTTTTGGATTAAAGAGATATATTAAATACTTTTTATTCATAAAATATAATAAAGATAAAATATCATAATATAAATGAGAAACGCATTTTATCATACATTTCCTGTGGTTGCGAAAAAAAGCTTTCATCAAAGTGTGAAATACACATTACAATTCACAGAAAATAATAGGAAGATTCCATTTACAATAGAACCAGTGCACGTATACATCGAATATAATAAGGGTGTCGTCGTTACCGCATCGTTTGCAATCGATGTCTCTTATGACAGCTGTTACGAACCCAATCCTATTTCAATTTATACTAAAATATATCCTATTTCAATTTATACTAAAATTATTTCCAGTCCTATTTCAATTTATACTAAAATTATTTCCAGAGCTAATCGATTAGCTCCTATTCCCGCCATTTTTTCATTTATATCCTATTAAACTTTACTTAACTTTTCAAATATATCTTTTTTTATTTTTTTATTTTTTGCTCAACAAATAAATTGCGAGAGAAGAGATTATTTGCAGTAGATTAAACGTGGTATACATAATGGTTTTTTCATAAACAAATGGGAAAAGAATATTAAATATTTTAAAATAAGCAGACTTGTTTTTTACACCAACTATACCAGTTGAGTTAAAATATTTTAACTTTATAAGCTGCTAATATTGTAATATCTACTAGCTTTTATTTATGATATAATGGATAGGCAATTAATTGCTTATAACATACGTAAAATCAATATTATATTTTTAAAGTCAATATTAAATGTTTTAAAATTATGTTTGTAGAATTACATTTTCGAACAAAAACGTTTTTACAATATGAATTATCGTTATGAAATAAAATTTACAAAAGATTTTATATAATAGTATTCTAATGATAATATTATATTTATGAAATATTTAATGTTTATTTCCATTTTATACAACAGAGAATTGGGTTTTTTTTATCAATTCATTTTCTGTACTGATTTTAATAATCTACTTTAATAATTGAGATACCAATTAGAGAGTAATTGAACTTTCTGGTAACAAGCAACTGAAAAAAATATTTGGTCAATAGATGTGTTATGTTAGATGTGTTATGTTTTGGTTCGTATTCATAGTCCGTTCATAACTGTATGGCGGTCGCGTACATAGGCCAAAGGACGAGAAGGTTTCGTCGATGACGTGAGCAGCACGAAATATTCCAGTCATGTCACGCGCACCATATGCACAGTAACGCGCCACCACGTTTGTTCACAATACAATTTTCCTACTTTTTCATGTTCGCCAGCAATATCCTGTCCTGAAGGCAGGCATCTTTCTGTAACTCCTTTTACACTTACTCTTGTCGGTTCGTAAACCAATTTTCCAACAACTCAAAACCAAAATCATATTAGATCGTTCGAGGATTCTTCAAGATTTCTTCTACATAATAACGACGTATAATAATAAAAAAAAAAATCATGGCGGAAAACTTTACACGGAAAAAGGAGAAATAAAGATATGGAAGAAGGGGGAGAATCAGTTTCTCACGAATTCGTAAAAACTCCCTCGAGATAGCAACTTGTAATCTACCGGCGAAGTGAAAACAGACGTTGCGGACGGGTCGCGATCGATCCTACGAACGAAATTCATCCCAAGGATCGTTGGGGGATTTGCAAGGACCCATCGATACGCAGAGGATTTGCGAAACCGACGTTCAAAATCTATCAGCCCGCGCGCCACCTCGTCCATTTCCAGGATGCTAGGCTCCTTGCGGATCCTTTTAAAAGGCTCTCTCGCGCTGTAATTCGATCGAAGACGATTTCCTTCAAGCGGAATTCGCTCACCATGAAAAAGAAAATTTTCGTAAACCTTCTACAACGATCGTTACTGAGACGACCTTAATCGCTATCTGATAGTTAAAAGGTCTGTCGTATAATAACGTTGAGCGGAAATAATATACTCTTGTAAAAAATTACATTCTTCACAAAAAAAATGTTGAAGAAACATTTCGTTTGATATACCTCTTTACAATAATCACTTGTCTCTATCGCTATATCACTTGTCACTATCTTCGTAATACTATTTATCGCATAATTAGTATCTGTGTTTTAATTCACTTGAAGTAATCGATACGTTGATAAGAAAGGAGAAAGAGTTGAATGAAAACGAAACTGGAGAATTTTTCCATGTCGAATCAGAGTTTCTACCGCGCCACTCGTCGTGATTGCTATTTCTCCATCTCGTACGGAGAGAAAATGAGAATACGATCCCGCTTTACAGTTCTCTCCTCCACCGCTCGTCCAAAGAGAGGTTCACAGGAGAGAAGAAGAAAATCAAGGAGGAATGAAGAACGGAAAGCAAGTTGGAAAAAGGCATTATAAGAAAATTTTCCCTCAAAGTCCTGCGTGCCACAAAACACACGTCTTTCCTCTTAGCAAGTTCTTAGATCTTTATTTGGGATCATAAAATGTCTAATGAACAACTTAAGCAATTAGTCAAATAACAAATAATTTGTACCATTAACTACTTCATCTTAATTTTTTAATAAAAAGTTTCTTTGACTGTAATCATCACAATAAATTGATAATTGTTCTCGTCTAAATAATTTTTTACTTAAAATTTAATTTGACTTCAATACAAAGAAATACATATAAGTAAAAAACTGATTTGGAAAGTTTGATAAAAATATTTACGGTGGAAAACTATCAATAAATTAATTTTTAGATATATATATATATATATATATTTAGAGATATATATATATATATATATATTTTAATTGCTAAATATGCATTACTGGAATTGCATGAGATGAAAGATATTCAGACTTTTATTTTTAGTCCATATTTTAAATAGAAGAAAAAATATATTCGTTTTTTAGTAGGATAATTTTATCGAAATAAAAGAAAAACAATTTTAATGCACTAGAAATTTCGGTTCTAGGGTTAAATTATGCCATGGCAGAGATATAGAGAAACTGCAAGACGATGAAACGAATTATTTAATTAAAGCTAGGTCTGGCGCATGGTTTCGAAACGAGGCTTCTCTCTACCCCTGTCGCGACAATCCTTTACTGGCTAATTGGGGAGCACCCCGTCTAATGAGCGAAGAAAGGAGGGCAAAACGATGTGAAACAAAACGTCGAGGGCTAACAAAAAAATCTGGAACGAAGGCTCCGCCAATCCTGGACGGAGATTATCCGTTTTGTCCGATTTCTTTCTCGTAATGCTTTGTTCTGAGAATTCTTCGCCAACGGTAAACGTGACCTCCCCGAAAATCTATGGCGTTTATCTCCCGCGTTTTGTATAAATTACGATACCTTGAAAATGGAAAA